TTGGTAGGGGGGGGGGGGGGAGGCCAGCCGGTCTGGGCCCCCTAATTGTTCGAAAGCTTTTAAAAATGGAAATATAAAGACAACTATAATATTCAAATTTTAAGTCTGAGAGTGCCCCCTTTATTTTGAATTCCTGGGGTTTCTGATAATTTTATAAATTTAAGCTATACAATATTTAATTGTGTAGATGATATATTTATGAAATAAACGTTGAGAATTCAGTTGTGCCAGAAATGAACAAGATTTTGCTAACTTACTTTGGGCAAATAACACTCTATTAAAATCTTCCATTAAAAAAGTATTATGTTATAAAGACACCTGGTATGGACATGACTGTACCGATTTTTAGGGCGCATCTTTAACATTTTAACTTAGATTTAATACGCTACTTATTAAAAAAAGAATTAAAAAATAAACTGTTAATGCAAATAACTCTGGCAGTTATAAAAATAATGGTTGTTGTGTTGAAGATGTTTCCCACTTTCTCTTTTAATATCAAGCACATGAGAAGAGTAAAATAATTTAAGTCATACAATATAGACAGGAACTTGTATCTTGAGTTTTAATAAATTATGAGTATGTCGTAGAGGGTGCAATACAGGTTGGCTGCCAAAAAAAAAATTATATGTATTTTCTACCTATTAATAGATTCTAAAATCGATTAAATAAGCCTTTGAAACATCTAAATTGTCAAAATTTTCGGGGGCTTCGCCCCAGGACCACTTCCGGAACATTTTAATCGAAGCTCGACCACGCCCACTTTTCTTTCGTCGGGGAAATCTGATCCCTCGTCGGGGCATCGCCCCCCCCCCGTCGGGGACCTCGGCACCCCGCGTCGGGCAAATCCTGGCGCCATCCCTGAGAGGCGACCTACACACCTAAACTAAAACTCGAATATTTCAGACACTTTTTTAGTTATTCTGCCCCTAATTTATATAATTTATTACCGGCTATTATGAGTTTATAAGTTTATTATAAAGTTTTTTTTAAACAAAATATTTCATCGTAATTAATAATAATAATAGTGTAGTTTTATATAGCGCACAAATCCATCTAATGTAAGATGCTCAGGGCGCTTGAAATGTGGACTAGGAACTCGATCGATGACTTTCTTCGCCCCTAAGGGTCCCTTCGTCCGGTATCAGCAACTCTCGTCGTCCACCACAAAAAAATAAATGTCTTTACTTCTTAATTAATTCGGAATGTTTATATTATCCTCTTACGTTTTTTTATTAATATTTTTATAGTAGATATTTTTATATCATATTTGTAGATTAAGTATAGTTTATAATTGTCATTTTAAAGAGGGCCTCTGGATATCAGCTGGCCTTCGGGTTTAGTTGGAAGAGCCCGTAGGCAGAATTTTTGAAGGGGGAGGGGTGCTAATTTTTAAGATTGATTGATTGATTGATTGATTGATTGAGTAAATTAAAAAAACTTTTACGTAAATGGTACTTTTTATTATGTAATGATTTAAAAGGGCATTTCTGGAAAAGGGGGGTTCTTTCGAGCCACTCGAACCCCCTGGCTACAGGCTTGAAGAGTTACCATCTTAAAATAAAGTTGAAATAAATAAATTAATAAATAATGTCTGGGATGTATTTGTCTCACCATGGAGCAGTCATATTACGAATCAATATGCTTCCTGGTTTCACTTAACAATAGGGGTAAGGTACACTACATTCTTGGTAATGAAAATGATGTATTTTATGATAATCATGTAACTAATCTTTTTGAAAAATTCTGAAAATCATCTGGAAACGATTATGGAAACCGCACAACTTTACTAAATGAAACTGGAAATGCATCAGTGCCTTAGGATATTATTGTATTTTTGGGGGTTCCTGTGATTGCGTTTTATTTATTTACTTAACTAAGTGATATTACATGTAAGTAAAACTAAATTACTTTGAGTAATTTTATTTCATATTCTGTATTATTTATACCGATTTTTTAAATTTAAAAATATAGTATTGTTATACAGTATTCTACTGATTTATCCATGTAGTTAAAAATTAAAAATGATATTCACCCGTATTTGAGAGTTTGTATGAGTTTTTGGTTAAGGAGAATTAGCTAATAAAAAATGAAGGCTTATTTTTCAGGATAGTTTTACCCCTTTACATAATCAAATTACTATTCTTTTACACACAAACTAGCTGCAAAGGATACTTTTTAAAGTAGTGTCTGAGTGTTAGCAGTGCCTAAAGTAATGTAAATATTGATTTTCATCCTTATGTGAATTTACTCAACATTTTCACTTCTGATGTTTTTATTTCATGAAAATTACTTAATTTTATGAAATCTATAAATATTCCCAACTTTACCCACTTGAAATGTTTGTGTTAGCTAGGTAACCTGCCATTAGAAAACGGTTTAACGGTTGCACCACTAAAACACTGCATTCAAAGAATACCTAGCTATGACTACCAAACTATACTGGAAAGCAAAATTACAATTTAGCAATTGGAACAGTCCAACTTTAGCATTTTTCGATTTGAAAGATGGACTGT